TCCTATTAATTTATTTAATATAATTATAATGTATTAGGACATGAACATCCCATGGTTACAAGCCAAGCCTACACATCGTAAAAGTAGGGCTTAAGCATGTTAAAGAAAATAGTCAATGTGAGTGTGACTCATGCAACTATTAGTAGGGCTGATATGAAGTTCCCTCTAATTCTAGAAACAAGCATGAGCAAAGTTGTGAAGAGAGAGAAGAAGGGAAGGAGCAGGGAGGAGAAGGAAGAGGTGAAGGAGGTGTTAGTGATTGAAGGGATTGACTTCAAGAGTGATGTGTCGATGAAGTTTGATGTGTATGTGAATGATGAGGACAAAGGTGGTGGTAGGCCCATAGAAAGGTGGGGTTTAATAGGAGTTTTGTGAGTGAGACATATAAGCACAAGCACAAGAAGAAAGGGGTGAAGAAGATGAAGATGAATGTGAGGAATGGGATCATAAAGTTGTTGGAAGATTTGGGTACTAATGACAATGAGCACGTGATGGTCACAAGCCAAATTAATAGTGGAGAGAGGGAGAAGGGAGAGGGAGAGAAGGCAGAGAGTGAGATACAAGGAAAGATAGAGGTTAGGCTAACAGAGTTTAGTCTAAATTACTTGTAAGTGTGAGATTACCTCGTGTTTAATTGGTTAGGATTCAAAATATATCAAATATAAGTTCAAGATTCAAATCATCCCTAGACCTAGGGTCCACAATGCCATTTAACCCTATTTGCGGTGGTTTTTGCATAGGCATGCTAAAGGAGTGCATCTTTAAAAGGTGTGATATTCCTAACTTTTAAAATCAAATAATGAGTTCCCAATGTCATTTACCATAATTTCCCCTAAATACAAGAGCTTAAAAATAAGGGAATGGATAAATGAAATGGATATATATGCGAGACTTGCATAATGAGAGAAAACATAATATTGATAATGATAAAGTGAAAATTACAAGAAATAAAAGATGGAAAATTAAAAGAGAAGATGCTGATACGTTGTTACTACTATTTTGCTAGGAGTTAGCGTTCTACTAGACATTGGTTGGAGAACTCACTACTCTGTGCTAAATGCATGGCGCGCTAATGGCATTATGTTGAATTTGCTAAAGGTAAAAGGAGTCATGCCAAGCAAAATAAAGGATGACATAGGGTCAAGGTTTGAATTTTATACTAGGCAAGTAGATGTTGGTGGTGAGTTCTTGAAATGTTGAGGGTTGTTGAAAAGATATGTGTGTGTAGAGGGTAGAGTTGAAGATATTTGCATGTGTGCGGTGGCTTCCTTTCTATAAGTATAAAGTGATAGTTTTCCCATGACTCTATGTTCCACTTTTCAGGGCCATTAGCTATAGTTTCTCCCATTTTTTTCCACTTTTGCCTTTTTGCTAAAGTGATGCTCACTTGATCAAGTCTTCTCATAACTTTTTTTTTTCTAGGAAACCTTGTTAGACTTGGGCCAAGATTATTCTTTTTGGGCTAAATAGTTGGGCTTAAGGCAAAAATCCAATTTTAAGCCAAACAAACCCTTATTATTATAATTAAAAACACACTTTTAGATGACAATATTTTACATCGATTAAAAATGAATTGGAAGAGAAAGTATGACTAGTGGTATTTTTATAAATAATTTATGTTTTTTATTTTTATAGCACTTATTATTTTAATTGGGGTAAAAAATGTTTACTTGGGTTAATATTATACTTGGTATACAAATCTTACCTGTAATGTTTTTTGAACACATATTTTTATTCTTATAATATTTTTCCACACATTTTATTTTTCACATATTTATTAACATTTAAATGTTAGAAATATAAGGAAAAACTTTTTGAATTCTTTTAAGTTATAATTTAAAACAGAAAGGATTTTTGGTTAAGAGACAACTCATCTCCAAAATTGTATATGCACACTGCCAACAAAAAATAGTTATGATAACAATAGGACTAGAATATGGTGAAAAGGCTAATTTTTTATAATGAGATTTATAATAACATGAAATAAGGTTCAAATCCTCACTAGTAAATGTGTCATTGACGTTGTCTCGAACAAAATTTTTTTATTAATAGGATACATGTGCATGAAATATATTGTAACTCTTACCAACAGATGAAATATGAATGCTATGTTGGAAGAAAATATATATATATATATATATATAGTATTATCCTAAAATTTGGTTAATGATAAAGCTTGTTGTTATTGCTGATGTAATATCTTGAAAATTAACCATCCGAACACCATATTCAACTTGGAAAGCAAGTTATTGAGGGAAAAAACTTTTAACTTCTCTAAAATTTGAGGTAATTGAGAAAAACTTATTTTAAATAATTGTTTGTTAATTGAGTTATAATGCAAAAATGGATTTGTTTGCATGCATAATTAAATTTGTAAATGTAAAAGCATGTTATAAATCATATGGCAGTGTATTAACCTTGATTTGATCTAAAATATGAAGTTGAATTTAAAATGATTTTCAAACTTTGAATAGGTATTTAAATGAGATATTGATGATTGATGTGATGATTGTAATTGATTGAGTATAGTGGAGAGAGTGTGAATGTGATTAAGAATGAAAGTGAAAATTATTTGTGATAAACAAAAATGTTGTCTCACTCACATGTTTAGCCTAATTATATGATTAAGGATATAAGCTTGTAATAGTAAATTACAAGCATGTGTGATTATGAGTATGAGCAAGAGACATTGCATGATCGTTAGTAGGAGTTCATCTAGAGAAAAAAGTAGATAAATACATATGATATTTATGACCTTATTTTGATACATGAAAGCTAGCCTTGTCCCACTATTTGTTAAGGGACTGTCCCATAATTTGTAAAGGACTTGAACCTAACTTTCTTTACCTGTTTGTTGAGGAGAGTAGCTTGTGGTATATGACACCTAGAGATTTAGGAATAGGAGAAGCCATAGTCTGAGAGTGAGTACAGTGATCTTTGATCGGGTTACTCCTCATAATTAGTGAGCTTGAGTAGTCCAATCACATGAACGAAGCCTTGATTGATATTATAACCCACAATTTCGATCAGAAGAAATAAGGGGGGTATAAGAAGGAATTAATCATACATATGTGTATTGTGTCACATGGTTGTTAAGTTTTTGACAAGTTATGATAGTTAATTGTGTCATTGTCATATGGTTGTCTGTATTCTAGCAATGTGCATTATTATTGTTGATTGAACCATTGCCATATTGTTGTTTATATTGTGGCAATTTGTCACGTGATATGATCATGTGAAAAATTTGATAATAAGTTAATGATGAAATTGGATATTCAACTTTCATTTACGTGCTTTTAATCAATTAATGTGCAACTATATAAGATAGATATATCTTAGTTACTGAGTGGTCATACTTGCTCCTCTCTTTCAATATTTTACAGGCTCTAGTTCTAGTGCAGAAAGGGAAAAGGCTTTAGAGGCTTAGAAATCTAAAATCCTACTATAAAACCTCTTAACCTCAATTATTTTGTGTATTAGTTAGTATATTGTTAATTAGAAGGCATTTTATATGCACTTGCACTTTACTGCTATTTGTGATTTTGGAATGCATTTTGGGCCCTGAAATGTGTATATAAGTTTGATTAAGTGTTAATAGGGCCAAAATAATAGTGAAATTGTAGAAATGTTGATTTGATCATAACTATGAAAATTATTTGTCTAGTGAAATGCTAAAAACTCCCTCTTTTATTTGTGGTATTAAAGGGCTTGAGGACTGAAAATTTGATATCTTTGAAATTATGTATTTGTACATGTAGTCCTAAATTTATTGAGTAAATTCTGGTGTTAGTTTTAACTTTTGGCACATGTGTGAGGTTTTAGACACGCTTAAATTGTAAGAAATGTGTAAAGTTGTGAAAATACATTTGAGTGTTTATCTTCTTTGTGTGATATATTTTGGAAGTAAAACATATATTATTAGCTAGTTTATAAGAAGAGTTTTTTGTAAATATTTAATCATCTCAATCAAACATCAAACAAAGAAATAGGGTATCTTAGGTTGTTGTCATTTGACATCAAAATGATGTTTGATACATGCAATACGCCACAACGCATGGCATAGAGTAAAACAACCGCTACACATGTGCACATGCTGTAATACATCACCCTACTTTTCATTCTTTAATGTTTTTCAACTAAATTTGAGTCCTTTGACTCTTCTGAGATATTCTATACTTTCAAAACAATATTTTACTCTGATTAAATATTTGTTAAATGAGGTTTAAGTAATTTTGAATTATGAAAACTTGAGATATTATTTCTACAAATTACAAACTTGATAATCTAATTGAATTAATGCAATGATTGTCCTGATTTCAGTGTTAATTATATTTTAGTAAGAATGATATTACAATTGAAGCATGTTGTCATCATCATTGTATATATATATATATATATACACATAATATGATATAAACATATGCATATACATGTATGTTGCAACTTGCAAGCATTGGCACTGAATAGTTAAGAAGAACTTATTAAGTCAATAAATAAGATATTTTTTTTTTTAACTAACCCAACTTGCAAGCATCACATAAAGATAATTTTAGTTTCAATAAAAAAACACTAGGCCAATATATTTTCTTTACGATAATTTCATAGATCAAACTAACTTTATGTGAGCTTGAAAAGATATCAAGTACTTGTAGTAATTAATTTTTATGTGTGGGACTTGATTGTAATTCTTTTAAAAAAAACAGCTCCAAGGAACTCGCTCATGTCTTTGTAATTAATTGAGCTATATGTTCATAAACCTCTCAGCTTGAAACTTCTCAAGTTCATTCCAATAGGGCAACACTGAGGATGCCTTCCAATGTCCTAGACATTGATCAATACCTTGTTATGGGTGTTTAATTAAAAATCATAAGTGTCATTCTCCCAAAAAATGGAGTATCACACTTATGGCCCTTAAAAGTGAAATAATTACATTTTAGGGCCTTTTAATTCTGAAATAATTGTCTTGGCCTAAAGGCTTTCTTTGTAAGTAAGATTTTTGTTGAAAAGATGAAAATACCTTTGGTATAAATGTATGTTCACATATTTACTACCAAGTGTTCATTAATTCACAAATATAGGTTCATATATTTACTAATTGTGAACCTGAACTTGTGTGCGAACATACAATTCTAAATATTTGAAGCTATATTTGTGAATATGTGAACCTCTACTTGAGAATTAGTGAAAGTCTAGTGGTAAATATGCAAACCTATAACATGAAAACTAAGGGCATTCTTGTCTTTTTAGCCCTGTTTACAGATATGTTACATGACTCTCTCAAAGAGGACTTTTTCAATGTGAGACTTGACAGTGTGTGGATCAGTGTGAGCAGCATAGTAAAAACTCTTGATCACTGTGAGGAATGTCTTCTTCATATTCAGATCCATGCCATTAGAAGACAGCGCCAGATGCACCAGCTCTTGCATTTTCTGCCCTATTTCTAGTTTGACCCTATAGCTTCCATTGTTATTGTTTTCCTGACAATTTGCAAACCAGACATGTAAGGAGAAGATAAGATAATCTCATTTACTAATTAATGATGCCTAATGAAGTTGCTAATAATTATTAAGCAATCACCTTGGTGCTTTGGAGAGAACGTAATAGATGGCAAAGTTGATTAGAGACTTGGACCAGTCTCTGGTATAGAGGATTGAGCTGTAAGTCACCAAAAAGTTGGTGGCCTCCGTTAATATTAATCATGTTCACCAACAGCTCTGCTTCTCCATCCCACTTATCTCCTTCCTTTTGCCATCCTAACAGCCACTTTTTCCACTGCATGCATTCAAGGATCAAAACATTGCCAATTAGTCAATCCTCTTTTTACTTATTATATATTATCAAAAGTTGACGAATAATAGTTCTGTGACCAGACAAAACTTACTGCATCTTGAAGAATATCAAAACTACCAGAAGGTGAGCTCAGAGAGAAGGAATGCAAAGTTTCTAGTAAAGTCCCCAATAGCCTCTCCCTGCTGCTTCTGTCTTTATTCATCCATCTGCATTGTTAAAAAACAAAAAAAAAAAAATGCAGCACTTCAAGTATTTAATTTCAAAGTAAGATAATAACTTGAACAGTGAAACGAATTAAAACAGCAAGCACTGATCAGTTAAAGACGCGCGCGCGCACTCACGGTTGATATAAGGAAGAACTGGTGTTATAGAATTCAGACACAAAGGCTTTTCTTTGGTCTTGGTCATGATATTTGGATGTAATAGTTTCAACGAGAGCAAGAGTTTTGACCCAAGTAAGTCGTTCTTGAGATCTCTCAGGCTCAAAAATGTTTGCTGCTGCCAAAAAGTAATCCACAAGAAGCTTGTCTCTGCTCAATCCTAACTCTCCTAGCCCACATTCTGAGTGCCATCTATAAAAATGGAACGTGACTTGGGTGAATTATTTATGAAGTGGAGAAGCGAGACTTAGGAAAAGAGATTCATTATTGGGCTTTTCTTACTTTTGAACCCTTTTCCATTCTCTGCGATGCAACTCTTGGCACTTGTTAAAATCTAGTTTTCCAAGTTCTAGATTATCATCATTGCTGACTTTGTGCAGCCTGAAATGGTTTTGAAAACAAAGTTATACTGTAGAATGTTGAAATCTATTGAATATAGGTGTATCTAAATATCATACACACATATATGCATGGTTTATGATAGAATATGCGAAAGCAAATTCATTACCTGTAAAGGGTTTTGGAGATCCAAACATCATCTCCACCACCGTATTGATCCAAGTAAAACCTAGTCTCTACTCGAGGCAAGCTTGCATACCATGGCAAATCCAATGCATAACTCACCTGTTATTGGTTCGAGAACATAATTCAATTCTTCATATACTAATATTTGAAGGTAATAACTACTAGAAACAATGCATATTATATACCTCGCCAGGTAGATCTTTGGCTATGATCCATTTATCAAGAATCTGATTAGCAGCTCGTTTTTCAGACAAGAAATTGGTGGCAAAGTTGTTGCCTTCATCAAGAATAGTCTCTCCTGGGAATTGAACTTGAGTTGCTCTGTAAAAATTAAACATCACTGTTGCTCCTTCGTCTGTTTGTCCAGGCAAGCAGCAGAACTCTCCGTCTTTCTCAAATGTCTTGAATACATCTGATAAAAGATAACCATTTTCATCTTTGTAACAATAATGCATCGCTGTATTGAATATTAACGCATGGTCTTAATTCTACTTACCAGCAGAAACATCATAGCCGTTTAATCTTAATAGTCTGAATCCCATGGATGTATCATCAAGATCTGGCAACTCTGAATCTTTGGTCCATCCAATTCCTCTCTCGTTCCAATTTCTGAAAATGTTATTGTTATTGGTAATATTGATTATCTAAATTCTATTGTTCGTTTGCATTTAATTAGTTTCATTTGAGGCTTGAACTCAAATGAGAGCAGTTGTTCCCAATGTCATAATTTTAAACAATCAATTGCAGAGCAAAATCCTGAGGTACGTCTTAGTCCCTTGGAAAGAAGAGACAGTTTCTTTTTCTTTCTTTTTTTCTTTTTCCCTTTTTCTTAATATAGAAGAAGAGAGAGTTGTACCTGTGAACATAATCCAAGATCTCTTTAATCTTTGGCTGGAAATACCTTGCGATTCCCAAGCGCTCCAAACGATCAACAATCCATAATTGTTCAAAAAATTCCACGGGATAGAAATCTGGGACTGCAAATTCATTCAGAAAAATATTGTGACATCTCTTGACATTAAGAAATTATATTATTCATATATAAGTTATCATAAATATTAATTTATAATCACAATCACAAGGGGACATTTAATTTATTTGTGGCTAGCTAGGTTGATATATACCTCCACCATTAATAAAGTTGTGAGCCACATTGTTCAAGTAATTGAGGCAGTGTGGGTCTTTACTTTGGGTGAAAGCAAAAGCAGTGGAAGAGGGACAGAACAAGTAAGAGCCATCTTTGCTTCTCACTCTCCGAAGCTTTTTCCATTGAAGCCCTGGTATTGCTTCCAAGCTGAATAGCAATGTTGTTGGCACACTATGCAAAGCCTCCATTGGTATCCTATTCACACCATAAAACAAGTCAAAACTTGTTATTGTGCAGAATTAAGAAAGGAGAGAGACATTTATTTCATAATATTTTTAATAGCATGTGCTATCTCCAACTTTGAATACAAGTCACTTAGTCAAGAGCTCTTAAGGTCCACAATAAAAGTCATACGGTAATGTATAAAATGTCTAGTTCATTAAATGACTTTTTTAATAAGTATCCTTGGGATAACTAAATTTATAGTCTTACATTAGCACTTGACCATAGTTTAAACAAGATCGTCTCAAATAAGATTGTCTCAAACAAGAGGATACCTATGAACAATTAAAAAAAAATAATTACTTCCTTCAAACCATAACATATGACGTATTTGAAAAGTCTCACTTGATTCAAAATATAGGATATTGAGTAAGTTTTATATATTTTTTAATTATACATTTACTTTATTATACTTGATTTAAATAATTAATGAAAGTACTTTGAATAAGTCAAATATTATATCTATTCTATGTAAGGGTATGGTAAGAAGCATGTGGATTTTTTTTTTAAAAAAAAAACAAGAGTTTAACTAACTTTTTTTTATAAATATAAATTAGTTAACAATAACTTATATTGTGGTATAGGAGACAATATGCAATTTTTAAAAGATTAAAGTTTCAAATAACTTACCTAATAACCATAAAATTATTACTAATGTTCCATGTTGTTGACGGGAAGGAGTAGATCTCAAACATATTTATTAATTTTAACTGTATTTATTGGTTCATGTGAAACGATTATTTGTTTCTTATGGAGAACTGAGAGACGGAGTATATTAGAAAGGTAAAATACTAAAATGTAAAAATTACAACTTCTATTCCTATTGTAAAGTATTTTCAATTAATCAAAAAATAATAGTTAACTTATTAAATATGTCGTAAAATAAAAAAAAATCAACTTTACTCCTATTAAAAATAAAAAGAAAGAGATACACAATATACGAGACATAAAATTAAATTTATAATAGAGATAATATTAAAAATGGTAATAAATAAATCTCTATATGTCTTATATATTAAAGAATAAAAAATTCTTCCATTAATAGGTTTCTTATAATAGATACTGTAACTATTTTATATGCACACACATATTGAAATAAAGATAGTAAAATCTAAGTTATGTACCTTTTGAGCTTGGCGTCTCTCCTTGCAAATATTTCTTGGAGGGCAGGGAAGTCATCAGGCAAATCGACGTTTAAAGTTTTTGCCCATTGGAGAAGTGTTGGCAGAATCACTTCGAACCCACATGTCATGTGCTCTCTGTTTTCTGTTTCCAGACACTTCACATTCTTTTTGAAAAATTCTAGCCCTGTATTTCAATAATTATGTTTAATTGAGCTGAAACCAAAACGCAAGAGAAAAAAAGAGAGAATTATATGTAAGTTTCACACAATACATTTAAATACCACAATATCTATTGACAATTTAATTTGTATTGTCATTTTATTTTGCTAAGTTGTCAATGGACTTCATAGTATTTAATTGTGTTATGTGGGATTCCAAAGTAATTCTCTAAAAAAAAATCCTATTGTGTACTAATCATCAATATTCTAGTATTTTGTTTTTTAGATTGTTTCCAAGCCTTTTTTTTTACCAAAATAATTTCATTTATTTTCTTTAATCTATATGACCTTCATCAATATTCTATTTAGCCATGTAAATATATTTTAATAATGTTAATTACCCCTTCTTTAAATGATAATTACCAAACTGATATTTAACTGAAGGGAACCAATCAACAAAACAAACTTGAATAGGAATGTATGTTGGGGGAGGGGTGAGGGCAATAGGAATCAAATGTAACAAAATAATTCTATAGATTTTACTTCTGAGTCAAATTTAATTGCGCCGGTTTGATCCACTTTGCCGTCAAAGAAACTCAGTCAACCAATGGTCCATATGTGTGGAGATCGATGCAACAACCCAAGTAAGGGTCATATATAATATATAAGAAACCCCACGTTACCAGAAGAAACGTACCTTTGCGGGCCTTGTGAGGATGAACATTGTAGTGTGTCAAGGCAATAACAGAAGCTAAGGTACAGAGAAGCCTATCATATGCCACAAATATGTCTGCATCTCCCCAGGATCCGTCTGGAAGCTGATTGTCTATTATCCATTGAAGCGATTCTGGGAACTGAGGGGCCCCACTTCCATTCACATCTTCCACCAGAGCCATCAATGCTGTGTGATAAGCTGACGCCGATATGCTCTGCTCTCCTTCATCTGACTCTAACCTCTTTCTCACTGCTTCCACTCTCTCTCTGATCACCTCATCATTCATCGCACAGCTCTATTTCCAATTTCCAAAGCATGCATGGCATTTAGATTATCTTTTTGAATTAGAAGGCCAGAGATACTAACGCTGCTAGAGTACAAGGCCTTGTAGAGTGGCATTGAGATTATCGTACGTGAAGAAAGTGACAAAGTGTTTAAAACTAGGTAAGAACGTACCTCCAAAGCTTCTTCATCTTCTTGGTTAAGCTCATCATGAATCCCATTATTCCAATCGAATTTCGTAAGTGTCAAGCCTTCCAGCCGTAGAAGTTCTGATGAAGTTTTGGGCTCTGAAATGCTGCTGGTGCTTTTTGCTCTGAAACCAGAGTTTTTCTGTGAAACGATGACTTTAGCCTTCAACGGCGCCGAAACCACCCCTATGTATAATAACACGATTAAACAATATATATGTTACCACAGAGGCTTATACAGGGAAAATAAATGTAGATATAGAAAAAGAGATATGAAGGTGACGAGTTAATTAGAGTACCAGGAAAGGAGTGGTTAGAGGGATTAATGATGGAGGAAGAAAACAAGACATGGTGGGATGAGGAAGGAAAAGAAGAAAGAGACGGAGAGCAGTAATGGAGATACAAGGTGGATTGAGAAGCCATTAATGGTTTGCTTCTTCTTGTTGGGATGTTACTGGGCTAACAACTCTCTTCTACTGAATTTGACCATGGCCATAATGATACACATATTTATAGGCGCGCGATCGCGCGTCTGTGTGTATGTATCACTATTAAAAAAATATAAATTAGTAAAAACATTTAACAAGGAGTTATCTATTCCTCTCTAAAATACTAAGTTAGTGAGACAATTGGTAAAAGATGTTGATTTTGTAATTTGACTTAAAATTAGTGAAGAAATTAGTGAGGTACTATCAATCCCTCTTTAAAATAAGAGAATCAGTGAGGAAAATAGCGAGGGACTATCAATCCCTCTCTAAAATAAGATAATTAGTGAGGAATTTAGCGAGGAATTCTATTCCTAGCTAATTACTACCAAAAAAAAATTACCTTTTGACAATGATTTTTAATTATACATTTAATTATTTTCATTTAAAAATAATAATTAAATTTAAAAATTAACTAAAATATTCATAATAAATTATTTAATATTTTCTTTATTTTAAGTTGATTTTCATTAATAAAATAATATTTTATTAAAATATAATATAAAGAATAATTTAAATAAAATATAAATATTTTTAACATATTAATAATTGAAAATAAAATTTAATATGTATATGTGTGTATTTTTATAATATATTATTTGATATATTTATGTAGTTAAATAATATATACATACATAATATATATATATATATATTTAATTTATCATATAATGCTTGCAGGTGCCTTTCAGTTCAACTGGTAAAGAAGGAGAGCATAAAACTTGAAAGGTATGAGGTCAAGGTTGTTGATGAGATGACATGTCACAAGCTGACATCACACATGGCAGGTGATGTGGCATAATTATTTTTAAATATAAGCATATTTAGTGAGGGATTCAATCCCTAACTAATTTTAGCGAGGGAAATACAATTCCTCACTATTTTTAAATATAAGCATATTTAGCGAGAGATTCAGTCCCTAGCTAATTTTAGCGAGGGAAATACAATTCCTCACTAAATTTAGTGAATTCTTTTTTAGCTACGAATTTAACGAGGAATAAAATTCATAACTAAAATGTAATTTAGCTACGAAAAATGACAATTTAATTTTTCTAGTATTGTATGTATATTCTTGTATTCAATATTTTGACAAGTCAAGAGTATAGAATTTTGGGTATAAGTTATTATAGAAATCTTAAAATTAAAGTGTTTTGATGCATGAAGGGATGGAAAAGAATATATTACTACCAAAATTTTCCGTCGAGCCTCCGCCGTCAAGACTTTGACTCGTGGAACAGATCGAGGAAGTTTGAACTCTCAAATTCAATCTATACTCTTCTTTTTGAACGATAAAACGTGTAATTATGCTTTTAAATTTAAGGTTTCTTCATTCATTAAAACTTTCATGTCTAATTAATGAAATGGAATTCATCGTAGGATCTGTTTTTATCAAGACTGATGTGAATAGTTTATAATAATATTGTATGGGTTTTTTTTTTTTATCATAATATTTTATGGAGCTTATACCCTCTAGAAAGATGAGTGATAATGTAAGTTATTATTAATTAATTTACATTTTTCAAGAAAGTTGGCTGATTAAAATTTTAATTTTCTAAAAAAATTTATATTATTTCAATTATATCTTTAAATAAAATAAATATAATATTTGATTTATTCAAATTACTTTCATTAACCTGCAAAATCACATATTAACCAAGCACATGTACAGGTGTCACTTGCCAAATGGACACACCCATCCACATTGACTTTCATGGTACTCTGTTGAGGGGAATCCACCCAAAACCTCCACTTATGAGTAAAGCTAGCAACTCAAGTCAAGTCATACGAGCTAGCTCAAAAAATTTAGGGTTAAGCTAAAAAAAAGATTTTTTTTTTTTATATTTGGACATATTCGAGCTAGTCTATATGAATTTAAAAAAATTTGAGCTAAGCCTGATCGGATTCAAACTTGGCCTAAATATCCAAATAAAAAAATTTATTTTTAAAAATATAATAAATATTAATTAATTCTTTATGTTTGAAATCATTTTATAATAAAATATCATATATTTGAATCATATACATTGTTTAAATGTAAAAATATATATTTTGTACTTTTAATAATAAAAATTAATTAAAAATAATTTTAAATTTTTTAAGAGAGTCGGGCTTATTTGGATTGAACTGAATAAACTTAACCTGACTAAATTTCCAACGTTACTCACAAGTCTCCACCTTTTTCACTTTTCAGGAAAAAAATAAGAAGATGTCAAAAAACAAATAAAAAAAAAATAGATTGAAAACAAACAAACACGCGCAGAGTCCTGCGATGATGAATCGAATTGCTCAACCAAGTTAATTAAAACTATCTTTTTATCAATATATTACTGTTAATATTTTAAATAAAATGTAGATTTTATAGTAAATAATATGATTAATTTTTACATTTACTATAATACAGTACACAAAAATATTTAATTAAAAATTTTAAAAATAGATCAGGAGTTAATTAGAAATTAAACCCTTGTTTAAGGCACAAACTCAATCACATAATATATCATCTTAAAATCTTAAATTCTCAAGCTGGACGGAGTCCTCATTCTGTGCTGATTGAATATTCATTTATCAATTTAAATTTGTTAAAAGATTAAAATATGAGAGTAATTTATGTACTTTTAATTATAAGGTTAAGCATTATTTTTATTATTGCTCATTTGCCAGGAGCATTGACTATTATAGATTATTTGATAGGGTAATATGGTCCTTCTAGTATCAAAACAATCGTTGTAATGTTATTCCTAGACTAACAGATAATAACGTTTGACCGTTAATCTATAATATGCTTAATCTTAAAATTAAATACTTAGATTTTTTTAAATAAAGAAATTATTTTCTGAACTTCAGGTCCGGAAATATTGCAGACTATGAACTTGTTTATTAAATAAATTATTTTCTTAACCCTTAAAAACAATGTAATTTGATCTCTATCATTAACAAAAATTAACTTTGACAATTAATTAACTAAAAAATAATAGAAAAATACCTCAAAAATTATAGAAAATAACCTTTTTTTGTTGTTTTCATATAATTTTTTTGGGTTCTTATGTATACTTTTTGAATTCTTCATTGTAATTTTTGGGCCTTCTATATAATTTTTAAAGTCTTTTTATGTTATTTTCTTGTCAATTAACTATCAAAATTAAATTTTATAAACTATAGAATTAGATTGCACCATTTTTAAAAATTTAAAAAAATAATTTTCAAATATCTTAGTTTCAAAATCTAAGTCTTTTTCAGGTGAAAAAAAATATAAATAAATAAATTACCTTACGCATGTTAGATCAAGTTGCATTTTGAAACTAAGATATCTGCAAAAATAATGTGAAGTTTCTAGCTAGCTCTCATAGCCTCACAGACTTCCACACCACTTGGGGTAAAGGAAAAAAAAAATCATGGTTGTTGCGTAAGCCCGCATTGGGATGATTACATGCACTTGTGGAAAATATTGTTAAATTGACAAAATGAAGACTTTGATTTTTGGAAAATTATCCTTTTGACTTGACATACTATCAATTAAAATTTAACGGCACTAAATGTAATGATTTTATCTTTGAAACCTGTAACTGAAAAGTCAAATTATGAGTTAAAATATTACAAGATTTATTTATTCATTCTAAGCGAATTTAATATTCCTTTGCCATCCAAAATTTATTAAAAATTAGAAAATGGAGATAATTAGTTTCGTTCCCAAAGAGGACGGCTGCTATACTGAGGTCAAGCGATATTGCAGACTGCCCCACCTGAATAATATTCCATTCGTCTTGCCCCGTTTAGACTATAACATAAAGCGTTTTCCAAAATCTCGTTTAGTTTAAAATATGAGATATTTGATAGATTACACACACACACACACATTTAATTATATTTTTATTTTGTTATATTATACTTAAGTAATTAATGAATGTATTTTGAATAAGTCAAATATTATATTTATTTCACACAAAGGTATAACTGAAAAGATATAAAAATATTTAGAAAATCAAGATTTTAACCAGTCATTTTTTAAAAACATAAAATAGTTAACAATATTTTATATTGTGGTCTAAAGAAAATATTTTATGAGATACTTTTTGGTAAAACTACAAATATTAATAAAGTATTATTTTAGGATTCGACTCATGAAAATATATAATATAAAAAAGCATCTCTTAGGAGATGATAGTCCTTTGAATGGCACTTAAATTTTTTAAAAAGGTAATCTCAAGTTGTTGGCTATGGGAATATCTCAGGTAGTAAAAAAAATTCATTAAATACATATACATCTTACAATTTTATCTTTTTGAAAAGAAAATTTAAAAATTTAAAAAATACTATTACTTTGATATAATTCTATTTGTAAAACATTAAATAGAAAGAAAAAAATATAATAAGGAGACAAGAATAATATTGAAACATTGAATCACCTCCTGGAGTATAAACTGTGATGGTGTGAGTATTTAATTTTAATTTGACCATGCCTATATAAAAATCAACGTATGCAATAAAATAAAATAATAAATTTCCCTACATTTGAACAAAGGATTTGAATCCTTTAAAATTGGGATTGGTAAATTTTTGTAAAGTTTTTCTTTTTAAAAAAAAAAAAAAAATTTGTATTTTATAAAATATAATAAAATAATCAAAAATACTAAAAAAAGAGTCAATCAGAGGAATAAATTAATTAGCGGTATATCTTGTCATCCAATTGGTCACTGGTGTTCCACTTGCATTTGTTTAATGTTTAATTCATAAAACCTTTTTTAATAAACAACTAAACGAAGAAAACTTCGCAATTAAGAATTCTTGAACATATAGTAAAGATGTCTCAAATTTATTTTATTACTATTATATACTTTTTATATCTCAAATTATAAAACACTTTTTAAAATATAAGATAATTTAAAAAGACTAAGGATTTACTAAATAAATTTATTTTAATATTATTTTTTTCTTTCTATTTAATTCTATCACTTTCTCTTTTTAATATATTAAATT